GAAAGATTAGTTATAATTGGTGGCAAACATGCACAGTCTCATTTAATTGTTCTACCTGAAAACTGGATACCCCAGTTAAATTAGGTACTTTGTTTTTTTTCTGTTTAATAGACCCTTTGATTTTTGTTACTTAAGGCTACCAGAATATAAATGTATTTTCATCGGATGCATGAATGCACTGTCAATGTTCACATATTTGGCAATCGAAACTGAAATATAAACAATCCCTAACCATAATCTGCTGCCATATCATATGTAGTGAATTGCTGTCTAAAAGATTAAAGACATCTGCTTTAATTAACCTGCCCATTAAATGTACAGAGCTGTTTGTATACAAGTTTATGGGAACATCTGCAGACTGACACACAAGGGTGCTTCAAGAATGTATTTAACAAGATGATGGCAAGTAGCCCTTCTCTTTGTATGTACAAGTTAATTTCCTAACTAATGTATAAAGGTGAATGCTTTGAATTAAAAAAATAATAGATACCTATACAAACAAAAATGGATTAAATTATTTTGATCATTTTATTTGTGTAACAATATTCTGAAAGTTAGGCACTACGAGACACAAAAGAAGAAACCACAAAAATACAGACAGTAGGGTCAATGTAAAGGTCAAAAACAGAAAGATATGTTCAAGTGCTCTCTGCATACAGTCAATGACATGGAAAAGAGCAAGGTTGTGATCTGCAAAAGAAGTGCATTTTTCACGGAGCCATATGAGCCAGTGTTCGCATTAAATATCCATTCATGTGTAGAGGAATGAAAAGAGGAAATCTCTTTGCACATGACTGTAGGACTGAAATGATTACAGCTTCACTGAGCTAAGTGAAAAATCATCTCCATTAGAAAATCAAACCCCATAAGTGTAGATAGAGTGGGACCTAAAAACTGGTGGTAAACAACAAAGATAGGGTGAGATTAGGATTTGGAACATGAGTGTGAGTCACTGAGGGCCTGTAATGTGTGAAGTAGAAGTAGATCTATTTTTTAAAACTTCCCCTGCACATTATTGGGCATTTGTGTTAATTTCACTGCACTTCGCCTCAATTCACATTGCAGTAGATGAAACTTTTAAAGTCATGTAGTGCTAGTAGGGTGAGTAACATAAAAGATTCAGTGGGGTTAATGTACTAAAAGCAATTAGGCTGTTTAATTTGCAAGAGAATCTTTACGTATTTTTCCCTATAGCTTAGTGAATGAGTTGAATCTGTGCTGACTTCCATCAACCCCACCATATGCAAGCAAAAATACTGTTTTATTTTCCTTAGTCATGATTGAATATTCTTTGCAAAGTGAATTTTCACCACATTCACTAAACTAAGGGAAAATTCCCATGTAATGTGAAAATTTCCTTGCAACCAAACAGCCTATTTGTCTTTAGTAAATTTACCTCAGCGAATATGTTTTTAATGAGTTCAGAGAAAAAGAACAAGTCTGGGAGATGGCTAGAGAGGCCCTAGTGAGGGTTCTAGGGCTCTAGTGAGGGTTTCAGGGCTAGTTCACACCAGCCCCAGTGCGTTCCGGCCCAATTCAGTGCTGAAATGCACTGGATCATATCCCAGCCGGCTCACTGCGTTCTGGGGTGTGGTTGTGCAATGAAGTCAATGGCACCGCAGCCACGCCCACAGTGTGATTGCCTTCAACGGAAAGCATGGCACATCAATGCCTGCGTTTTGGTGCCGTCAATGCAGGCATTGATGTGCCACACGTTCTGGTGCAGGCGATCCCACTGCGGCTGTGGGGCGTGGCTGCGGTGCCATTGATTCAATGCACTGCCATGCCCCCTCCCATCCCAGGATACAGTGAGCTGGCCGTGATGCGATCCAGTGCATTCCTGCACCGAATCTGGCCGAAACGTACTGGAGCTAGAATGTAGTGAGGAAATGGTAAAGAGATGGAAAGGATATGTTAGAGCTGGAATATATGTTGTGGTTAATTCACTAAAGGAGTAGTGCATGCTTACTTTGTACAATGAAAATTCCCATGCAAAGTGAAAATTCACTTAGGGGGTTATTCATAAAGCTGCTGAAGGCAGCCAAGTGAATAACCCAGGTGAAGTGAAGTGAGCCGAACAACGTTCAGCTATTCACTCGTACTCACTCACTCGTACTCGGCTAAGCCAAAGTGCAGAAGGACTTCGACTCAGCCAATCCGACATCTGGATCGGCTGAGCTGAAGTGAGTAAATAGCCGAATGCCGCCAAGCGCCATTCGGCTCGGCTATTCTGCTCGGTACCTCTGTAGTACCGAGCAGAATGGAAAATCAATAAAAAAAGTTTTAAAAAAAAAGGTAAATAAATAGTTCAATAAAAAAAGAAATAAAGATTTTTAAAAAAAGAAAAAAAAAACTGGGCAGAGCTAGCAGTGACTGCTAGCTCCACCTAACTGTTTCCTATTGGGCAGCACCTGCTAGAGCCCCGGCCAATGAATAACAACTGATGTCACGGCCAGCTCCACCTAGTTGTTATGGTTGAATAACAGCTTAGCGTACCCAGGTTATTTGGGGATACTGATCTGTCATTACAACTGGGCCGAGCCAGCCGTGAAATGACAGTTCCACCCAGCTGTCATTTGCGGGGGCGAAAGGCCGGCCTTCGGTAGGCCGTTTGCCC